CAAATCGGTTAGGTCTAGATTTAGATTGGTTAAATATAGATTGTTTACTCTTAGTATAAATACCCCCACCCTACCTAGGTTATTCATTCAAGAAATCTAAAAACAATAAAAAGCAGAAGTATTCTACAGAGTGTCTTGTATTCTCTTCTCGATTGGTCTTAATAAAGAGAGCGAGTGTTTCCCACAGTGAGTTGTGTTCAACATTTGGTATCAGAGCGAGGTTAGTGTAGGTTATCTGATCTCTTGGAATCCTTAGTATGCTCTGTGGTTGCAGCTCTGCCTGATCTTCCACATCAGAAACGATTTCTTGAGATTAGTGGTGAGTGAGTTTCTTTTGTGTCGTGAGAAGTCTGTGACTCTGCAAGTCTTGTGTCAAAAGAACTTGTTTGGTATTACTGAGGTATGGCCAACACGATGAGTGATTTCCAAATCGTTGGAGGAATTAAGAAACTCAACAACAACAACTACAACACGTGGGCAACATGCATGATGTCCTATTTACAAGGACAGGATCTTTGGGAGATCGTTGGCGGGTGTGAAACTACGCCGCCAGAGGAGGATTCTAACGACGCCTTGCGCAAATGGAGAATCAAAGCAGGCAAAGCAATGTTTGCCTTGAAGACCACCATCGGAGAAGAGATGTTAGAACATATTTGGGATGACAAGACACCGAAAGAAGCATGGGACACATTCGTGATGTTGTTCTCAAAGAAGAATGATACGAGGCTACAACTTCTGGAGAATGAGTTGTTGTCAATTTCACAACGTGATATGACGATTGCTCAGTACTTCCACAAGGTCAAATCGATCTGTCGGGAGATTACTGAACTAGACCCAAAGTCCGCCATTGTAGAATCTCGAATGAAGAGGATTATAATCCACGGATTGCGACCAGAATATCGAAGCTTCATTGCTGCTGTACAAGGATGGCCCACTCAACCATCACTGGTAGAGTTCGAAAATTTGTTAGCCAGCCAAGAAGCCATGGCTAAACAAATGGGAGGCTTCACATTGAAGGGTGAAGAAGCACTCTACACGAGTGAAAGTCAGAGCAATAATAGGCCGTCTACCAGACGTGGATACAATGGTGACAAAAGAAGAAGCCACCAAGGGATTGCACAACCTGAGAGAGCTCAGAAGAACGACAACAAGAGTTTTCAAAGAACGAGATTTGGTGGTATTTGCTATAACTGCGGGAAAAAGGGCCATATGTCTAGAGATTGTTGGTCCAGGAAAAAGTCCATTGAAAACAATGTGGCAATATCCAAAAAGAAGATAGAAGATGAATGGGATGCAGAGGTACTATGTCCCATAGAAGAAGACGAGCTAGCACTCATGGCGACAATGGAAGACCATATCAACTATGAGAATGACTGGATCGTTGATTCAGGATGTTCAAATCACATGACTGGCGATCAGAGAAAATTGCAAGACAAGAAAGAGTACAAAGGAAGTCGTATGGTACGTACAGCAAATAACACACAGTTATCAATTGCTCAAATCGGCAATACGACAATCATGCCTGGCAATAAGTCTGATACAGTGTCGCTACATAATGTTTATCATGTACCGGGTATAAAGAAGAACTTGTTGTCAGTGTCACAACTAACAACATCAGGAAGCTATGTCTTGTTTGGGCCAGAAGATGTAAAAGTTTATCAAGATGTTAAGATAATAGGAAAGCCGACGATAGAAGGACGAAGAGTGGAGTCTGTCTACGTTCTATCTGCAGAGTCTGCCTATGTTGACAAGACCCGAAAGAATGAGACGACAGATCTATGGCATGCAAGATTGGGACATATTAGCTACCATAAGTTGAAGCTGATTATGGAGAAATCTATGCTCAAAGGTCTACCACAACTGGAAGTCAAAACAGACGTTGTCTGCGCTGGATGTCAGTATGGTAAAGCTCATCAATTACCATACAAAGAGTCAAGTTTCAAAGCAAAGAAACCATTAGAGTTAGTTCACTCTGATTTGTTCGGCCCAGTCAAACAAGCATCGATCAGCGGAATGCGGTATATGGTGACATTTATTGACGACTACTCAAGATATGTGTGGATTTTCTTTATGAAAGAAAAGTCTGACACGTTCTCAAAGTTTCAAGAATTCAAGATGATGGTCGAAGGAGAAGTAGGAGCGAAGATTCGTTGTCTACGTTCAGACAATGGCGGAGAATACACGTCAGATGAGTTCGATCAATATTTACACGAGTGTGGGATACGACGTCAATTTACATGTGCCAACACGCCACAACAAAATGGTGTAGCAGAAAGAAAGAATCGACACCTTGCAGAAACCTGTCGAAGCATGTTACACGCAAAGAACGTTCCAGGAAGATTTTGGGCTGAAGCTATGCGAACTGCTGCCCATGTGATCAACAAGCTTCCTCAACCAAAGCTAGGGTTCGTCTCACCATTTGAGATACTATGGGATATGAAACCTACAATTAGTTACTTCCGAGTATTTGGCTGTGTTTGCTATGTATTTGTGCCTGACCATCTACGTAGCAAGTTTGACAAGAAAGCAGTCAAGTAAGTATTTGTTGGATACGACAATCAAAGAAAAGGATGGAGGTGCTGTGATCCAACAAGTGGAAAATACTATACATCAAGAGATGTAGTTTTTGATGAAGCATCTACATGGTGGTCCTCGGAGAAGAAAGTCTTATCAGATTCAAACATTGAAGAAATTCTACAACAGAAGCTGGGGGAGCAAACTACACAAATTCAATCAAATGTCGATGCATCTGAAAATCCAAGCGACATTGATATTGACAAGCAGGAGGTGACTCAATCAAGCGAATCTGATAAAAATGAAACAACACATCAACAACTTAGGCGATCAAATAGAATCCGAAGGCCAAATCCTAAGTATGCAAATGCAGCTATTGTAGAAGATAGAGTTTACGAACCAGAGACATATGAAGAAGCATCACAAAACTCGGTTTGGCAGAAAGCGATGGAGGAAGAAATTATAGCCTTGGAGCATAATCAAACTTGGGAACTAGTGCCAAGACTAGGAGATATCAAACCCGTCTCTTGCAAGTGGGTCTATAAAATAAAGCGTCGACCGGATGGATCAATCGAGAGATACAAGGCTCGACTCGTGGCTCGAGGATTTTCTCAACAATATGGACTAGATTATGATGAAACATTCAGTCCAGTGGCAAAGATTACTACCGTACGAGTTCTGCTAGCACTCGCAGCAAGTAAAGATTGGAAACTGTGGCAAATGGATGTGAAGAATGCCTTCTTGCACGGAGAGCTAGACAGGGAGATTTATATGAACCAACCAAAGGGATTTGAGAGTGCAGCTAATCCTAATTATGTATGCAAGCTTAGAAAAGCTCTTTATGGACTGAAACAAGCACCGAGAGCTTGGTATGGTAAGATTGCTGAATTTCTTACCCAAAGTGGTTATTCAGTTGCGCATGCAGACTCAAGCCTATTCATCAAAGAAAGAGAAGGAAATTTGACAATTGTGTTGGTCTACGTGGACGATTTGATTATCACCGGGGACGATGAAAGAGAAATTTATCAAACAAGAGAAAATTTATCAATACGCTTTCAGATGAAAGAGCTAGGAGAGCTTAAACACTTCTTAGGCCTAGAAGTTGATCGCACAGATGAAGGACTGTTTCTCTGCCAACAAAAGTATACCAGAGACATGCTTCAGAAGTTCAACATGTTAGAGTGCAAGCAAGTTTCAACACCGATGGAGATAAATGCCAAGATTTGTGCACATGAAGGCAAAGAGTTGAACGATGAAACAACGTACCGACAACTAGTAGGTAGTCTTATCTACCTAACTTTAACTCGACCTGATATCTCTTATGCAGTTGGGGTTATGAGTCGATACATGCAAAGTCCAAAGAAGCCTCATCTGGATGCAGCTCGACGGATCTTGAGATATATCAAAGGTACAATCGACTATGGTCTTTTGTACAAAAGAAGCAAAGACTGCAAGCTAGTTGGATACTGTGATGCTGACTATGCAGGAGACCACGATACTCGGAGGTCAACCACTGGGTATGTGTTCAAGTTTGGTTCGGGAACAATTTCTTGGTGTAGCAAGAGACAACCAACAGTATCATTATCAACTACAGAAGCAGAGTATAGAGCAGCGGCTGGAGCAGCCCAGGAAAGTACATGGCTAAAACTCTTGATGGAAGATTTGCACCAGAAAATTGACTATCCAATATCACTTCTTTGCGACAACCAATCTGCGATTCGCCTTGCAGAAAATCCAGTGTTTCATGCTAGAACAAAGCATGTGGAGGTGCACTACCATTTCATTAGAGAGAAGGTCCTAAAGGAAGAAATTGAGATGCAGCAGATCAAGACAGATGACCAAGTGGCAGACTTGTTTACAAAAGGGTTGAATACTAGCAAACATGAGAGCTTTCGCTGTCAGCTCAACATGATGCAGCGAATGAGGACTAGTGCTGAGGGGGAGTGTTGAAATATCATCACTAGCCCAATAGAGTCAAGCCCAATAATTGTACTAGCCCAATAGAGTCAAGCCTAATTGTACGAGCCCAGTATATTTATTTTAGTAGAGATTTTAGGAGAAAGAGATGTAGATATTTTAGGAGAAAGATTCAATTTGTTAGGTCTAGATTCAAATCGGTTAGGTCTAGATTTAGATTGGTTAAATATAGATTGTTTACTCTTAGTATAAATACCCCCACCCTACCTAGGTTATTCATTCAAGAAATCTAAAAACAATAAAAAGCAGAAGTATTCTACAGAGTGTCTTGTATTCTCTTCTCGATTGGTCTTAATAAAGAGAGCGAGTGTTTCCCACAGTGAGTTGTGTTCAACAGAAAATAGAGTTAAACTCAACCCGTGTCACAATTTTATATTATTTTTTTTATAAAAAGAAACCTAAAAAAAAATTGAAGTAATTTTAAGTTTAAAAGAGTTGGAAATGGAAAGGAGTTCAGTTTGAACAAAATTTGCGTAGCCCCGTATATGTTGGAGAAGGAATTAAACGGCGTCGTATTACAACTTGGATAAGTCTTTGCTGGAAGAGAAACTTTCAAGCTGAGGCGCGCTTGAAAAAAATGGCGTCCGCAACTGCAACGGTGGCCAACATCGCTTCAGAATTCCGGCGGCCAGTATTCACCAAAGTAAGTAATTCTATCCATATTCTCAGTAGCTTAACCAATGAATCGAATCTCGAAGCTCCACCGCATTTTTCCGCCTTCCTTCCGATATGTTTGGGATATTACCATTTTCAAATTATTTTTTGTGTTGCAGGTTCCTGTTAATGGCCGCCGCCGCAATGCTCTGGTTTGTCTGAACTTCGGAGGCGTTGAATTTGAAAATGTACAGGATAGGCTGTGTACGAGGTAAACATGTATTTTGATTTTTTTTATTTGTTTATTGAGCGGTGTAGTGATGGATATTGCTTGTTCAGTTTCGATTTGGTGAATTGTGCATAGAAACTGATGTATAGAAGTAGGAACGTTTCTTCATTTCCAGGTCCTCAGTTTCTTATAGTCCCCTTGTAGTTGGTTCCAGATTTTTGTCCAGACCGACGGCCATAGCTAGTTCAGGTAATTCTGATTCTAGTCATGAACTTCAGTATGTTACTATTTGGCCTATGTATATTCAAATTTGTAATGGTTTAGACCTATTGTGAACTACGAGGACTAAATAATGTTCATTGACCACATCGTTACAAGTTTTAAAATACAGGAATCAAATTGTTCATGGACCAAATGATCAAATGTATTTTTTAACTTTATTTTTCTTCTTCTTTTCTTTCAGAATTGATAACCATTTGGTATTCAAAGTATAAGCTTATAGACATTACTTCCACCTGTGAGGTTCTTTGTTTTGTTTTCTGCCTTCTAAAAAGTGTGTTCAAAATTCAAGCCAAATTTGATTTTGTTATTGGAATTGGCTAAGAATTTAAATGTTTCTTTAAGAAAGATGGAAACCATAGTAAAGAATTTGTTAGAAAATAAGCATAAACTACATAAACGAAAAGCTAGAAACAAAATCGTTATTGATTCGGGTCATAGTAATTTGGAACCTATGACAAAAGTAGGACAGTTTTTACCAGTAAATCTTGTCTTGCCTGCACTCAGAAGATATTAGTTTCTTCTATATCATGTTTCAAAAAAATTGTGTTGAGTATATTGCAAATCGTGTTTAAGAAACACAATGATGGATTTGGTAAAAGTTATCTCTGTTTTGTTGATCTGTTTTGATGTCATAGGTTTGGAGGCAGCCATCACAGATTACAAAGGTGCTATAACCTTAAAAAATGCTAAAATAGTTGTAGAATCTGAGGATGAAAACAAGATACAGGTAACACTACCTATGTGAACTAGTTGTAGCATGCATAACATTTTTGGTTGTAGCATAGAGTTTTACCACTTTGATTTTCATCCCAAAGGAATTTACATCTAATACTTCTATAGCATTTTAGAATACTTTCCTCTGACAAGTTGTTGAAGATCTCATTCTGCCCATAAACTATTCAACTTCGTTTCTAGTTTCACTTTCAAGAGTAGATTTAATGCTGTTTGATGCATGCTGATACAAATCTTACAAGATGATATGTATATTTCATATTGGAAATTTGGTGGAAGCTTTTATCCTCTTAAGTCATATAAATTATACATATAGTTCCCCATATGAAATACACATCCTACCAAACGTATTTATATTTCATATTGCAAAATGGAGGCTAATCTATTACTTAGGCCTTGCATTCCAAAACTTGATAGAACATGGTTTATTTTATTTATGAACAAGATGGTAAAACTTAGAGGGATAATCAGAGATTTCTCTTCTCCCCAACTGGCAACTACCATACTTAACTCATGAAAAGCTTACATCCTTAAGCGACTACCGTCTCGTTATCTATTCTCTTACTCTCCCAAACCTCACTTTGTTACAACTTGTGCCCACGGTAGGAAATCAAGATGTAAGGATTGGGTACATATCTTTGATAAATGTCTAATGAAATCTAATGAACAGCTAAGAGTGGACTTGACTGGGGATGAGACGCAAAAGGTATTCGATCAGGTTTTGACGAATCTGGCCCGCTCAGCCCCGCTGATGCCAGGATTTCGTAAGCAAAAAGGAGGTAGTACCGTGATTTTCCTCCCCCCCTTCACTGTGAATGTTGTTACAACCGTTCATTCATACTGTATAGACAAGCATGGGAATTGAGAAGTACCGTTTCTATAATTACAAGTTCATATATGTAGCTGCTTTTACATCTCCTAAATTTTTATGTTTAGTAACAGATGACCTGACTTTATATGGTTTCTAATGTTTTCGTGTTTTCATGCCTGTTGATGCTTGGCCAGGGAAAACTTCAAATGTGAGTTGCTTCTCTTTGCCTTTTCAACTTTCCTCTTTGGGTTTCCAAGTACTTTTAAGTTATGTCTTTTTTTTCTCAATATCGTTCTATTCTTATACATATTGTTCTATTCTTCCCCAAGGTTTCTATTTGTAAATAACGAATTCCTTCAGGTCCCAAAAAGCTTCCTCTTAGAAGTCCTTGGTAAGGATCGGGTCACAAAGTTCGTCATACAAGAAATATTAAACTCAACTATGGTAGATTATGCAAAGAAGGCAAGTTGTATCCTCATTGCTTTGCTCCTTTCTTATACCTACTGCCTGTGTGCTGATTGTAATTTGGGAGCTGTTTTTGAATTGGTTTTCCTAGATGCCTTTTAGAAGTTAATTATATTGGGTATATTGAAATCACTATTCGTTAACTATTTACAAACTTATAATTTTGATGATTGTGTCTGTATTGTTTCTATATCTCTATGTTTTTAAAAGTTTCAATTGTGATTTTATGTGAAAGAGCGTTACCATCATTAAGATGATGACATGACACATGAGATCCCACATTAGTTGGGGAGGAGAACGAAACATTCTTTATAAGGGTGTGGAACCTCTCCCTAGCACAGGCGTTTTAAAAATCTTGAGAGAAGTCCAAAAGAGAAAGTCCAAAGAGGAGAATATTTGCGAGCGGTGGGCTTGGGCTTGGGCTGTTACATGACTTGTCTACTGTACATATATTTTGTTAATTTGGCACAACGTAACAGACAAATGATAGAAAGAAGTCAAACAATTAGATAAAGGAGGACGTAGTTTATGAAATGAATTTGATACAGCTCGTTTTTCTTTTGTTTCGACTCCAACACAGGAAAATATAAAGGTGAAGGACAAGATGGTTAACACAACTCAAACAGAAGATGAACTGAAAGCGTTGTTCAGGCCTGGAAAAGAGTTTGGTTTCAATGCTATACTTGAACTTGAACTTGAACTTGAACCTGAACTTGAGTCTGCTTCAGAGGGTGAAAATTGAGCCAAAAAGGTCCCCCTTTCCAAATGAAGATTTTCTCCGCTTGGTTCTTTCTTGGCCCTCTCTTTCAAAGTTTTGGAAATATTTCGTTGAAGGAATAAATGTTTAATTATCCATAGTGATGCATTGATCAGTATTAATGAGTTCTAGTTACTAACTAACTTGTTTACTTGTTATTTTTATCTTGTTTTTAGTTCAAATTACACCTAAACTAGAAATTTGAATTACAACTCTTAACGGAAGTTTCTACTACTTGAGGTACGTTTTTGTTCATACTAAAACGAGCTATTCACAGATTGCAAGTTGTTCCACACAGTTGGCGGACGGTGGCGTCCAACGTGCCCATGTCGCTGAAACAGCCAACGACAACCACCGGTCGCATTGCGTACCCCCTCCAACAAAAACAAATATTAATGCATTTTGTCGATTATTAATCAAAAACATGCTTGATCGTATGGACAGACTATTAGAGAGTCGTCGAATAATCTCTAGTGATCAGTTGAAATTAACCGTGTCTCGTATGTATCTCAGTAGTATGTATTATCAAATTACTATGTAGGGTGATTAGAGTCTTACTAGCTAAGCTACAGCAGTGAACTATCTAGATTAAATGCTCTAGATAGTTGGTTGATGCACGAGACTGTTTCATTTATGTTTATGATATTAGTTTTCTATGTGGAGATCATTAAACGATCTCCAACTAATCGTAATGGATGAAAACCGTCAATACTTTATTTTAAAAATATCAAAATTTCAAAATTATAAGGATATTTTTTAATTTAAGAGTTTTTTTTTTTTTTTTATAGCATCAGGGATAAAATTTAAAAGATTTTTTAAATTAATTTAGTAAATTTTCAAACAAAACTAAATTGGAACGTTGTTTTTTAATACTAAATTTAAATATTACAAATTAAAATTTTAGAATAAAGTCGATACCCTATAATATTTGGGATATAAATGATAAAATAAAAATTTAAAGATAAATTAAATTGAAACATATTTTTAAAATAATACCGATAATAAAAAATAAAAAAATAAAAATTTTCGATCCAATCATCCCACTTTGTTAAACCCTAAACCTTTCATCTTCCTCTCACTCTCACGTGCTCCCCTTCTTCTGTTTCCCGCCGGCTCATCCTCCCTTTCAGCAGCTCAGTATCGCTGCCGTTGCGCTACCGCCTCTCCGATTCTGTGCCGCCGTAGCCTCCTCAAGCGGATTGCGCCGATTTTCGACGCTCTTGTTGTTACTGGTATTCCTCCAGTCTCCTTCTATGTCTTTCTTCTACCTTGAAAAACTCAAATTTAGAACTCGTCTCATGAGAGAAGAGGTTCTTATGATCCTTTTCTATTGTGTTTATAGCTATAGCAGAACAGCAACGAAAAAAAAAAAAGAAGAAAAATCAGCCTCGGAAAAATTGCGATTAATTTCTTGCATCTGTTTATCAATCGAGGCTTTTATCATCTGTATGTTTATTGGGTGCCTGAGGAAATTTGCCTTGTTTCTAGTCTCCCAGATCCTCCAAAGCACCACCAACCATGAATTTTCCAGCATCTCCCTACTTTAGTTATCAAGAACCAGTCGAAGTAATCTATCGTATTCCAATTTTCCCTAATAGACAAAAGGTCGCAGGCATTATTTGAAATAAAATAGTCTAGCTTTTGGAAACTTTCACCTTCATGGCTGGTTGTTTCTGGATTCCTTAGTCGTTGTTAGAAACGGAGGCTCTTTATCCAATTCTCTTTTAATCTGTATCTCGTAGAACTAGGAGGTCCGATAAAAATTACATGAAAACACAACTTTAAGGATAAGAATTTTTATATTGATGCTCTCGGATATGGTGTTTTCATGTTGCCCTGAAGCTTCTTTGTCCACTCATTCTCCTTTATTACGAAGCTTGATACTCTAAATATTGAAGTGGAGATTTCCTTCTTCATCAGTTGGCCCTCATGGCATGATGGTCTTGCTCTAAGCGGATTACATGGTTTTTTGTAATATTCTATTTGGAGTATTTGACACTCAGTCAACTTTTCGGTGGTCGATAAGAAGTTTTGTTTTGTGTTGAAAAACTCACAACATGAGAATTTCGGAAAACACTTATTCTATGCAGTCAAATTGCTGTCTCAATTAAAAGACAATTTGCATTATTTGTCCAGTAAAATTCAATTGACTTTCAATGGAAAATGATTTTGGAAACTTCTGCAAGTCATGTTCTAATCTACTCTTTGGATGATATGAATGTAGAAAAGTGTGGTGCTATGCAGTTTATTTTGGTTATAGGCTTATAGCCAACTAAAAGCTTGTTGCAGGTGTATTATTCTTTTCGTTGAATTGAATTTAGCTAATTATGGGCAAGAGAAAGAGCCATAAGCAAGAAAAAAGGAACTCTAAGAGAAGAGTCGCAGACGATGATGCTGCCTCTGAAGATATGGACGATGAAATTGATGCCTGTAAGATTTTTGTGTCATTTAACAATATTTTTGTATGTTCTGTTGTTCACTGATATGTCAATTTTTTTGGATATCTTTAATATCCATATGTATCATGGTTAAGAAAATGGAAACAATGGAGTATCATGATTTGTATCACGTTTGCAGTTCACAGGCAGAGAGATGTTATTCCACTTGATATTAATGGTGATGCTCCGGAGTCAGATGAAGATGCTGAGCATCCTGTTTTTAATTTAGAGGTTCCAACATCGTCCTTTTTCTCATGTTGTAGAAGTATTTTTGTCAATAGTATTTACTTCCAGCCAATAGTAGTTTTATGCATAATTGACTCTTACACTTCTCAAAAAAAAAAAAAAAAAAAG